TGGGTAGTGCAGAAAAATTAAAAGTGTCAGGCTATATTTTAATATACTTGGTTCATCAGGTAGAGTGTTCATTTATTTTCTAGTACAGATTACCCTTTTAATTATTAAAGAGAGCCCACCCCCATCTTGGTGTAGCTGCTGGGTGAGCAACTCAAAACCTGTTTTTTAAAGTTAATTTCTTCCATATTGATAAGTTCAATTGCCATCCTAATTGTACTTACCTGGCAGCCCCATCTTTTAAAAAAATCTAGGACAGGGATGAATTTTCCTTACATTTTAATCAACAATTCACAAAGGTAGAAATGAAGCCCTTAAATACTGCAAAGGTCTTAAATAGTTTTTTTCCTCCCCTTACATTATTGTGGATTAGATCTCCCAAAATATATTTTAGTCTAAAAACAGCTTGGAGGGATCAATTTGGCTAGAGCTGCATCATGAAGGATTTACAGTGGAATCCTAAACAGAGTTATACCTTTCTAAATCTGCTGGAGTCATCAATCATTCCCCCCCCCCGCCGCTGTTTTCCCCAAAGACCTCCCCATAAGGAAATAGATGAGGGGAAATGGTTAATACATCCTTGCCTGTTTCAGCATTCAAACCTCAGTCCTGTAGCTTCTTTAACATATCCAAACAAGGAAAGAGAGACAGAAATCGGATTACACATGATATATTTTATTCCTAATATTCCAGTCAAAATGTTTCCAGTATTATCTGTAACGTTTCATTCTGAAGTCCAGCAAATACCTTCTAAAATATATTTTCCTTAGGAACAACATGTCTAATAGCAAGTAAAATTTTGTGAAAATAATTGTGACACTATTGAAAGAAGAAGAAAATACGTATTTTGAGATAACTAATTCTCCAATAATGTAGTTATACAAAGCCAGAGATGACTTTTTGTTTACACTGTGGACAAATGTGATTGCTATGAATTTCAACAAAGTTACAAGATACAAATAATACTGAATAAGTATTAAATATTTTGTGCTGTCACAAAAGTGGCTAACATCCAGAAAACCCATGACATGCTTCAGTAATATCTTTGGCATTTTATTTATATTTCGTTATAGCAACTCATTTTTAAGTCAAGTATAATATATCCTGATTGATCTTACAACATTAGAGACAGGAGACAGAGTTTGCTTTCTGAATGTAGAGAGAGCTGCAAACTTATTGCCCCTGTTGTGATGGATTATGTTGCCATTTCTTTCCTTTGTTGTCTTTTTCAAGTAGTCTGACTGGATTCTCTCTAAGAAAACAAGGAGGCACTACCCACTGATATTTCTGAGAGAAGGGTCACCTCTCAAATTACCTTTTCAGTTCTGTTCAGAGCAAAGTTCTTTTTTTTCCAAATTGGCCATCACTCTCATTAATATATGTCTTATTTTATTTATAAAACAGTATATCAAAACTGTGTCAGGTATGTTCATTTGTTTTGTTCCCTTCACTTCATGTATACCACTCCAGTTTTCTGCAATTTTATTGAAGGCTCATAGCCATTAATTACTTCAGGTTTTCATTTCAGAAATTCCTTTGATATAATTTTAACCAGTTACATGCTTGTTATTGGGGATGACAAAACAATGACATTTGGAATTAAGCCTCCGGTAGCAGGACCTCAACATAGCAGGTGCTGTCAAAAACATTTATATACTAAAATATTCTAAAATACATTAAAAAATCCATGGAAGTGATGAAAAGACATAATTTAAGGGGAAACATTTTAGTCCCAATAATAGAAATCCAGTCACAACAGTGATTCGGGCTCTATACTTTCTATACAGTGATTCAGGCTCTATACTTTCTAACATAATCCACAAGCTTCTCTATAGATTTGACAATTCAGTATCAAGTCTGTTTGTTACACATACCATTTATTTGATAAAAGCTGGGGTGTCTAGGTTTTTCAGTTTTTACTGAAAAAAAAGACATTTGAAATCCAGGAAGATTATACCCCATTACAGCTGATAATTCTGGAAGAACAGCTGTCTCACTCTGTTGCAGCAAAAATAAGTTAGTCGTACTGTTTTGTTAGTCTTTATGGTGCCTTAAGACTCCTGTTAGTTTGACCTCATGGAAGCCAGTGTGGTGTAGTAGTTAGAGTGCTTGACTAAATAGAAACAGAGAGATCCAGGTTTGAATTCCATCTCTGCCATGGAAGCTTTCTGGGTGAACTCCAACTGCTAAGTGGGGCCTTATTCTGGTTGGGACCTCTGCAGTTTGGGGAGAAAGAGGGGATACTAGCTCCCAACTGTGCCATTTGGCCAACCCAAAATGGCACCGAGGGCATTGTTTTCTAACACACACACAGTGCCTTTTCAGGGTGGAAAAATGGTGCAGGAGGGTGGCAGGGAACTAACTTTTTAAAATGGTGGCACATCACCAGGGCAAACCTGGCGAAGCCAGTCTTGTTCATAGGTTATTTAATATGAACTCGCAAACAAACAAAAAACCCTGACTTGAGTATCTAACTAGTCTACTCCTTACACTGGGTGATAAACAAGCATAGAATAGCTAATGAAAACCTTTAATTTTTAAAAGAGGTGTTCTAAGAACACATTAGAAATATACACGAGACTGAAATATTATTTCTAATGCCTGATATTAGTCCTTACTCTTTCTATTCCCTCTGTTTTGTGTTGCCAATCAGATCTTTTGCCCCCTGCCTCCTGAGAGCAGTTTTTGTTGTTCACTTTTGTGCTATATAAGGCAAGAGCACCATGGAGGGAAGCTACAAAACACAATGCAAACAGTCTGCTGTCACATTTGTATTTCCAAATGCCATGACCAAGCAACTTTGGGAAGGCAAATCTGCCCTTTCACTTTAAGCACTGCACATACACAGGATCAGCCCAGAAGTGAACATCTGATGCTGTCCTTTTCCCACTTTAAAATGATTACAGGAAAAGGAATGCTTCTCCCTCTGCCCTGACTCAGAATTGTTGGAGAAATCGCACACATAAATCCAAGCAGCAGATGAAAATTTGTACCAGAAATCGAAATTCCAATAAGCTTCAGAAATTTTTCTTACATGCCTGTGCATGATCTGCAACAGTCCTTTCTTTGCTACACTAATCCAGTTGAAAAATAGTTTGTCACTTCTTCCTTCTCATCCTTATTAAGCTGAGACTTAACCTCATCACCAGAGACCCTGCTCTTTTTCGTCCTAAACACAAGGGATTTTATTTGTATCACTTGTATGGATTTGTGCATTTACATTTTGAAGCCTGGGTTTTAAAATGTTATCACACTAATACAGGAGTCTTTCATCCTGACAAACTGGGGAAAGTAGTTCAGCATTCAATGACAACTATAATATGGTATTGTGTTCCGTGACAGTATGCCTTCACACAATACCTATCTTTATATAAAACTAAACTTGTGCTTTAAATGAGTCATACCTCCCTTTCTGTTCACTGTGCTTGAACATTCAGGACATTCCAAGACATTGGTGTTTGTGAGACATGCAAGTCAGACTGTTAGGGATGGGCACGGACTGGACCACGGACCTAATTTTTCCATCGACTGGGGCCCAGTTCTTGGTCCATGAGCCCGATCCATGCCATCCCACTAACATGAACCCCCACAAGTCCATGACCCTCCCAGGAGGTTCGTAAGGCCTGTCTTGGCAGGGCTGCAAAAACCATTTAAATTGAGTGCATTCCCTTTAAATGGCTCTGTAAGCTGCGTAGTGTCATGGACCAAACAGGCCACAACCCAGTCCGTTAAATGTGTAGGTTCGTGGTCTGGGGATCCTTAAGCCCCATGGACCTCCACACCTCAACAGACCACAATTTTTCTGGACTGTGCCCATTCCTACTCCCTGAATTGACTGCTAGCAGTAACATGGATCACTCAGCAACAGTAGCACCAAGACTGTAATAGACTTGCTCCAGCAGCATCTTGTTTTCCTCAGTGGAAACAACTGCCACCAGAACAAGTGAGTTAAGCCTGGAATTAAAAAGAAGAAAAAAAGGAGCTGAAGTTTAGGTCCAAAGCTGCCTAAAACCCTATGACTAGATGTGACTGTGGTAAACAGCTCTAAGTGTGGGAGAGAAAAGCAAACTAAAATGTGAGAAGGTTCAGAGGGTAGCCGTGTTGGTCTGCAGGAGAACAGTTAGATTATGTCCAGTACACATTATGGTCTGCAGTAGAACAGTTAGATTATATCCTGTAACACCTTAGAGACCAACAAGAGTTTCAGGATGTAAGCTTTTGAGTCAAAGCTCTCTTCATCAGACACAGTAGAACAGAAGTGAAGATCCTTATTTTCTACTGTGTCTGCTAAAGGAAGCTTTGACTCTTGAAAGCTTACATTCTGAAACTCTTACTGGTCTCGAAGCAGCTGCTGGATTCTAATCTAACTGTAGGATGTGAGAAATTATTTCAGGCAATACATACATGTGTTGGCCTAAAGGGCAAAGGGTACAACAGCTCCTCTATTCATGAAGCTTCCTCAATGGACTGAGGTCTTTGTTTCATGTTACCAGAAGTTTAATAGAAACCATATGCAGCTTGACTAGTGTCCAGAAAGGGTTGTTTGTGTATATTATTTTAAATGGCACTTTTTAAATTATCAGTATCTGAAACTGTGTTATACTTTTTTAGAAAGGCAATTAACACCTTATTGCACAGAAAGGATTGGCATATTGATAAAAATGTCTTAACCTTTTCAAGTATGCATGGAGAAAATTCTAGCCAATTAACTTATATAAAGAAACACACATTATTATTGACAATATAACTTGATCATTTACAGTGAGGGTCAGATTAATTTCAGACTTCTCTTACCTGAGAACATACCCAATACTGTTGTAACATTTATTATCATTAAAGTTTATGATTTGCCAGTGGTAGCCATAATCACATGATGTTAGCAGACTTATAAAAATCCTAACCCTTGTAGCAGATAAAATATTGTGTGTTGATCCAAATGGCTTGATATAACTTAAAGGCAATAGGCAAGGCAAGATATCATACTTGTGCTTTTTCCATTTTAGGACTGCATCAAAACATGTAGATAAAGATCTTGGAAATCTAGAGGAAAATAAAAAGTTAGAAGAAAACAATCACAAGTCAGAAGCTTGAGATACAGAATGAGTCAGTCATCAGTCCAGGTAGGTGAGAAGAATTATGTAATGCATCATTTTTGTCCTCTCAGTACAGTTGTTTCTCCAGTCTCTGTATTGCCTAGATGAAAGGAACTGGAGTTATCTGCTGACCATTTGGAATGTCTTCTGCAGCTCTTTCAGTGGCTTGTTGTGACTTCTTCAGGTGGGGCACGAGAATAATATTCAGAATACTCATCATGTGAAGAAAAACTCAGGTGGCTGTTCAATTTATTAAGATTTATTGCCTCTCCAGTGTCACCTTTTTTATATTTCATGGGATTGACTTGGCTATAATTCCACAGTGTTTACTAAGGTGCCATCAGTAGTTTCTACGAGACATGTAGTCTTCTATCTGACTCCTCCCCAGACCATCTGTTTTAAAATAGAGGCATGCAATTTCTTTTTAGTTTTGCTACAGAACTATAATTTGATTTAGTAGTTCATGTTCATTTTAGTTATTTTTGTTGCCACATGTGAACAGCTCTCATTCTCCTCTTCCCTTGCACACATAGCTGCACTTACTGTGCTGCTGCTGGCCAAGCTTGATAAGTGCCAGGTGAGCACCCTGAGCACTGTATTCTCCATGGTGGCCCAAGGCTCAGCACCTTGAATGCATTGGAAACATTGCCATGCCTCCTGATCATTGCCCTCCACTTCTGTCTATCTGGGTGCTGTTACCATAGCCATGTTGCCGAGTCCGGCTTGCAGCATCCATCAACAATAAAGAATTAAAGCAAGTGAACAAGAAGAAATAGCAATGTGTGATGTTCACCTTAGTTTTTCACTTCCATTTCTGTTACCACAACAAATTAATCAAGGGGTTGAAGCACCTTTCCTATGAAGAAAGGCTGGAGAGTCTGGGACTTTTTAGTTTAGAGGGGGAAAGGTGAAGGAGGGACATGGTGGAGATTTATAAAAGTATGTATGGGGTGGAAAGCATGAATACGGGGAGCTTTTTCTTCCTTTCCTATAATATTAGAATTTGGGGGCACCCAGTCAAGCTGATGGGCAACAGGTACAGGATAGACAAAAGTAAATACTTCTTTACTCAACAAGTAACTAAGTTGTGGGATTCACTGCTAGTGAAGGTAGTGATGGCCAAGTGCATAGATGGCTTAAAGGGGGGTTACACAGATTAATGGAGGATAGGTCCATCAATTAATACTAGCCATGGTAAGTAAAGGGGAGCCTCTGTATTGAGATGCAGTAAACCTGTGAAACCCAGTACTACAAGGCAACATCAGGGGAAAGTATTGGTTTCTGTGCCCTGGATGTTGTTCCTCCAGGGCAACTGGTTGACCACTGTGGGAGATGTGATGCTGGACTAGATGGACCACTTCTCTGATCCAGCAGGGTTCCTTTTACATTAAAGAAATGCAAATGTGCTTTGGGGGTTAATTCCCCCCCCCATTCATTTCGTTATGGATGTGCATCCCTACTTTATTTTATTTCTTTTAAAACATTATATCCTAAAATATGCTATGTATATAGAGGTTTCCAGAAAGTACAAAAATACTATTAATGTAAAACACCAGTCATGATTTAAAAAAAAAATCAAAACACCCTTGGATTTTACACAAAAGTGCCTTAAAAGTCACGGTGGCATGATGCTTGGGAAAGTCTTCTACATTCATGCATTTATTTTTGAAGGCTACATGTCCTACCTTTATATATAATTTCTAACATGGGACTCATAAGATTTTACCTTCTGAAAATGTCTATATTATCTAATATAACTCCAGGAGCCATTTCCTTGCTTACTAGTGTGGAATGGTCTATAGAAGCATTTACCATTCCCATCTAGACCTTTGACCTTCTTTTTCATATTTTCAGGAATAAACATAGACCGACTGAAGCATGAACATGGATTGTATTTAAGATATATACAAAGATGTGACAGCTATTCATGGTTCAAGTATTAAACAGACCATTCTACCAAGTTTTCAAAGGAATTTACAGTTATCTCAAGCTCACAAAAAAAAACAGCAAACTAATTTTGGCAGCAGCCGTGATAATAGGTCACAAAGTTGTGTTCTGTTTGAATATATATTTTTTTTGTAAATGTCTGCACTGAAAATTTCTTTTGGTTTGCCTTTATGTAAATTTTTTACGTAGCTATTTTTATACACTGTAAGGCTTTGTTCTGGGAGTCGCTGGTAATCTGATGTATAGTGTAATGTTTTTATTTCTGTTGGTTTTCACACCCTTTAAAGAGGTACATTTCTAATTCTGATTGCTATCAGTAAAGTTCCTACTTTGCACAGCAAGTATCTAATTTATAAGATTGCCTTATGGGAAAATGAGACACTTCTCTCTCTGTTTTTCAACCACCATTAAGAAAAAGGGGGAAAATAAATCTGATTTAAAAAAAACACTACATAGTTTATAAAATAATGAGAAATTGATCAGCTATAATGAACATGTACATAATTTCCAAAAGAGTTGGTTGTTAAGCAAAATTCATGTTGTTATGTATGCAAATGTCTACTAATAAGTCTTTTTTTAGACAGGAAAACCTTTTTATTGATAGCATTCTGAAAAACTAATTGTTCTTGCAATTCCATAATATATAGTGTGAATGACTGGAATTATGAATTAGTTCTGAAATGTTTTGTTATCCACTGCCTTAAAAAATCTTAATTTCAAAGAAGAAAATCAGACAGAATTGGATTTTTTAAAAAAGTAATCATATCAAAGCTGCATTTTCCACAAAATAGAATATATATTTTTTGTGTGTGTGTTTTTGTTAACTACACTACAGATATTGCACCTTGGAGATAATTTTAGTGTTTTTAACTGGTACATAATTTATCAAAAACAGTACATGAAATTGTAACAATGAAATTAAATCGATGTATCTTTAGTTACATTCAAGATTGTATCTTTATAGACCTGTTTTATGTTTGAGAATTTTTTTAGAAAGTTAGCATAAAAAGAAACCTTTGGATAGATCAGGGCAACTAGACAACAGTATTTAGCAATGTTTCCTCATTTAGTGGAAAAATAGCATCTGGAAGAATGTAATAGATAATTTTGATCACAGCAGGAAGTTACTAGGAGTAAGTATCAGGTTTCTGTTTACAGATTTACGAGCCAGGAAAACAGAATGTTTTATAGATTGCAGGGAGATTAGTAGAAGGGAAAATTGATATGGAAATTAGGAAATGTATTTGCCACATAGGGGAAAAAACACTGTTACTTGTAAATTTGTAAAATGTAGTGACTGATGTCTTAAATAAAAGCTTCCTGTAGTGTATTGGCATGGATTAAATACATGAAATGTCCTATAAATTCAACTCTGTATAACATATTATGGAAGAATCCTGTTAAAAGTCCTTTCAGCATTTGTTAAGGCTTTATTTGGCAAGGAAACATAAAATAATCTTGGTCGATGTTTAAACCAAAGTTAAAAGGGGGTAAAACCAAAGTCATTTGTTTTGCATGGCTAAGCCATTTATGATATCTTTGTAAATACTGTTTTTTTCTTTTCCTTTCTTTTTGTTTTTTTTAAGTTTGTTTTTGAAAATCCTACAATTTTTAAACACCTGTTTTCCAAAATAAAATGTGAACACACATAAAAAAAGATTATATATAACTTTTTTTGGTGTGAAGATATCACTTCTATAAAATAAAATTCAACTGGTTTGAGAATAGAAAAGGATTTACAGGGCAAATTACATGTTTTTTGAATTATATGAAATATATAAATGTACTCCTATTGAGAAAGTGAATCCTACTGGTCTGCTAAAGAAAGTGTCACACAGCTTACCAGGCTTGAAACAAGATTGGAGACCAAAAATGGAAGTTTCTAATAACTGCATCCAGTATCATGAGGAAAGAACAGAATTCTCGCCTTCTGAGGTTCTTCTGACCATCCAATGTAATTCTCGGGGGTGTATCCTTCACTGTGCAGAGTTTACATCAAACACTTTTCAGGAATCAACAGTACCAATTCATTGTTGCCATTCATGCCTGAAAGACAATAAAAGTGAAGTATGTTTTCTCATTCCTGTCTGACATTTCAGTTCAAAGGAGACACTTGCATGTACACAAAGCAAGAAGAGTCTCAGTGGTAATGATGGCATGTTCTGGTCACACAAGTGCAAAACTTTAGTTAGGAGATGGATCACTTTCATGCCATCCATTTATCAGGGAGAGAAATCCACACACATGCACATACACAATGTATGGAAATAAATACTGAATTAAATGCTTTACTATCACATAATTTTCAGTTAATTGTTTATATCACCTGATACATAAAGTGGACTGAGACTAGTGGGTAAAAGTGAAGACAACCTTTGCTAAGACAGCTCCCCACCACCACCAATAGTAGCCCTATTCACCTGTTACAGTGAATGCATGTACATCCTGCTTCAGCAGGGGTGTAGACTTTCCAATTTTCGGGGTGGGGGCTGGGCCAGATGTGTTACCCAGTGACATCAGAGGCCATTGTCACTATCTATGGAGGCAGAGCCATGTGGGATTTAGGGAGGGGCTCCCCAGAAATTTAGGGGGAGCTGGGAACTCCCCTAACAATGCCCCTGGGCTGGGCTGAGCCTGCTTTGGCAGATTAGGGCGGGATATAAATTAGAATATAAATAAATCCAAGAAAAGGTGGGAGTTGGCCAGTGGCTATAGTGATATCTCAGCATTCTCTTGCTGTGTCTTAGTTTTGAAATTCAGTTTTACAGTAGTCACATTAAGATCTGGAAATATGCATACGATGTGCATAGGACAAACTAATGGTCACAAATTTGACAGTAAAAGAAAGGCAACACAGAAAATCCTGTGGGAAAACTTTTTAAAAGCTTTTCTGGACATTCATTTACAGGAGTCTTGTTTCTGCCATATTCATAAGGGTGACTTTGTACTGAAATTTACAAAATTATGGCACCACATATGCCTTTGTTTGGTAAATGTATAGCTGAAGTCTCTGAGCCAGGGCAGAATACAAAACAGTTGCTGTGCACTCAATTCAGAGTAGGAGCAATCTTTTTCTCACTTCAAACACACATCCTACAAGTGATTACAAGTACATTTTGTGGCAACTCAGAACAGTGCCCATAGCCATGACCCCAAAGAAAACTTATAGTTATGCCACCTAGCATTTTATATACCTTGCCTTCTTAGCCCACTGCTTAGAAACTTCACATTAAAAATATAGACACTTAGAACAAAGTGTTAATAAAATAAATCACATAATTAAGTTTATGGGCATGGTTAATTTCTGCTCTTTTTTAAAAAAAAGATTTATGATTTTTACATTACAAAGAGAAAAACAAAGATTTACTTCATAACATCATAGAAACGGGAAACTTACCAAACTCATGGAAAGATGCCTTGATTACATTAATACACAAACCTAATACTGAAGATAAAGAAATCCAAAACTATAAACCTATATCACTTCTCAATGTTGACTATAAGATTTTTGCAACTATCATAGCCATCCGTTTCAAGAAGATATTGGTACAAGTTATACATCGAGACCAATCTGGCTTTCTCCCGAAGAGACAGATAAAAAATAAGTTAAGAACTATTCTAAATATACTATGAACAACATCCTGGAAGACAATTAACACTAGTTTTTCTCGATGCGGAGAAAGCTTTGACAATGTAATTTGGGAATTCTTAAGATACAAATTGGAGATTTGGGATTGTGGCAATAATTTTATGATGATGATAATGTCTATATATAAAGAACAATTTGCAAAAATAATAGTTAATGGAGATTTAACTCAGAATATACCTGGCGGGAGATGGTCCATGGGGTCGCGAAGAGTCGGACTCGACTGTGCGACTGAACAACAACAAATACCTATTCAAAAAGGAACTCGACAAGGATGTCTGCTTTCACCATTATTATTTATCTTTGTAATAGAGACATTAAATGACTTGGTAAGAGAAAATTTGAACATAAGAGGTCTTAAAACTAAAGGAGAGGAATTTGAACTTCAAGCTTTTGCTGATGATCTAGTATTCATTTTGGAAGATCCAATAATATCTACACCATACCTGCTTAATGTAATACAAGAATATGGCTCAATAGCAGGACTTAAAATACATTCTAAAAAAACCAAGATCTTGACAAAAAAACTGCTCTTAGGATTTGATAAACAAGATCCAGTCTCAATCTAATATAGAGGTAATCAACAAAGTAATCTATTTGAAAATAATTACAAGAAATTATTAGAAGATATCAAGAAAGAGTTACAGAAATTGCATGATTTACACCTATTTATTGGTAGAATTGCCACTATTAAAATGAACATCCTTCCACGTTTCCTATTTCTGGTACAGAACATACCAATTTTAAAAAATAATAAATTTTTCTTGGAATTGGATCAATATGTAAGAAAATTTATATGGCACTCCAAAAAAGCATGTATTAAATTGAAACTTCTTCAAGATAAAAAAGAATGAGGTGGCCTCAGTGTACCAAATTGGTCCCTTTATTACCAAGCCTTAGCTATGGGTTGGATTAGGAATTGGTTACTGTTAGAAGATAAAAGACTGCTATATCTAGAGGGCCATAACCTACATATGGGCTGGCATGCCTACATATGGTATGATAAAGAAAAAATCCATTCAAATTTCCATAATCATATAATTAGAGGAGCCCTAATAAAGATCTGGAGGAGAATTAAAGAAAGATTTTACCTAAAAATACCTATGTGGGTTTCACCTTTAGAGGCTTTCATAATGTCTACATTGATGTCGGACAATAAGAGAGTTACATAACAAAAACTATTAAACAAGAATAAAGCGCTAAATTCGTTGGAGACACTACAAGCATTGAATATTAATCTCACTGGTTGGGGAAAATTGCAATTACAGTCAAGGTTTACTAAAGATAAAGTAATGAATTTTTATAATGAAAAGATAGACCTAGACAAAA